AGCAATAGTACAACGCGACAGCCAAGGGCGTCCAGTATTGAGCGTCCACTATTGCTGTAGCGGAACAGTGTCTAGGCACCAGGCTTCAGCCAGTACCAGCGGGAGTGCATGGCTAAGAGTGGACTTGTGAATGCCAAACATACAGCAAAAGAGAGACACCCCCCGCGCGAACGGGCGGCCCAGCATGTCAAATGATAATTTTGGTGGCTTTAATTTCTCGTGCCTTTCATTCTCCAGCAGTCGGTCCCGAAGTCCAAAACAGAGTGGGCTTTGTGTGCTGCTCTTTCGGAGAACCAGACCATGGAGTGACTAATGCCCCATCCGGAAATCGGTTCCGCCAGCCAACCAGCCAGCCAACCAACCAACCAACCAACCAACCAACCAACCAACCAACCAACCAACCAACCAACCAACCGCGTCGGACAGGGCGAAGCAAAAGACAGGGCTAAGCAAAAAAACAAAACATTCCAACGTGCTGTGTTCTCCCAAATACGGTGAATGGGCAAAATCCCGCACCAGTTGGTAGGTGGTGTGTCGCTTTCTCCGATTGCTCACAGGGTTTCATCCACACAGATGTATGTTTCGTTCATCCCATTTTTTCAGATAGGGTTTCATCTAGGCCAACTGTTGAAGGATTTTGCCCTTCAGTATAGCCAGCAGAGCAACTTTATCTTGTTGCTGTTTGTCATCGTTCTTAGTGCCTTTCTTGAGTTCCTTTCTGTGTTTCGCTGTATCTGTGGTCTTTTCTGCTTTGTCTGTTTGTTGTTCCTGCCTTCCTTCCTTCCTTCCTTCCTTCCTTCCTTCCTTCCTTCCTTTCGTCTTTCTGTCTTTCTTTCTTTCTTTCTTTCTTTGTTCCTTCCTTTCTTTCTTTCTGTCATGTTGTTTTGTCTGTCCTTCTCTCTTTGTCATTGTCTTGATGTTGCTTTTGCGTTCTGTCCATTTTACATTCGGCATGTTTCACAGATATTTCATTCCATATGTGTTTCCTTCTTTCCTTCCTGCCTTCTTTGTCACTTTATCTTGACCGAGTTTCCTTCTATTCTTCCTACGTCTCTTTCTCTGCCTACGAATCTGTGTTTCTACGTGGTTTTATTTTTTCTTTTTTATCATGTACTGTATCTATCTATCGACCAAGGATGGCATCTATCTGTCTACCTACCTGTTGATCTATGTATGTAAACCAACAGCTATGTTACACTATCCCCCTGTCTTTCTTTCTGTGTATTTGTCTACTACCTCTGTGAAAAGTTGTGGTTCATCAATCTATCCAGCATTTCCTGCACATACGGGAAGCTAGAAAAAGTCAGCAACAAGTACAGGCATCACACAAGGCACCACTTCTCTTGGATATGATAAGACTCAATAAGACTCATCAGAATAATAAGGACATCATTATTCTCGGGATCAACCCGTGGCACCATAGCCTATGAAAATAATTTGACTGACAGGATTACCAGAGTATGTTTCAGACATAGCGGGGACAAACTGCTTCCGGAAATCTCGTGAAAAAGTCAGAATGTCTTGAGGAACTGGACACATTTTACATAATTCCAATTGCGGGACCCTCTTGAGGTGGCACTTCCCTTGGAAATGATTAAAACAATTGGCGTAATAGTACTGCCCATGGTAACCGTGAACCTTGGACATGACAAGACTAGTAAGAAGTAACAAGCGGTACTGCCTGCTTCCGAACACTGTTGTCAATTCAGACATGAAAGACACATGCTTCTGCAGACCAGTCCGGAAAGCAAAAGAAAGCGCAGTGGCAAGACATTCACCAGGAAAGGGGGGGAACCCCAGTCGGGAGAGTCGGGAGAGTTTGGGTTGGGAGCCTTGGGGACTGTTGACTTGTCCCCTCCCACATTCGCCAGCTTGACTTCCCCTGAGATTATTTTCTGGGTGAAATAATATGTCGTGTTGACTGTGATTCTGCTTCAAATTTGGCCTACCCTAATTTTTAAAACACAATTTTGGAGGAGACCCCAGAACTGTCTGTTTGCTCCCAAAGCTTGGCCTCCTAGGTGCTTTGATCCCATGCTCTTTCGCCAGGGCTCAGCTCTTTCGCCGTGTCCAAACCGCACTCGTTGCACTCCACTGCCGTGTAGACGGCGCCCCCAAAGTCGTCCGGAGCCTTCATCGACAAGACTTGGGCTGGGTTTGCATCAGGATCGACACCCAGAAACAAACGAGCAGGCAGCCTGGCGAAATAGGTCGAGAAAAGTGGAAAAATGTGGCTTTCCGCCAACCAGCCAATAAAACAAAGTATTCTCGAAAAGGACACACCCATACTGTGGATGGACAAAATTCACTTCGCACCAGTTGGGTATGGTGCTTTATCAACCACCATTTATACGGCTGCGTCTATTGCAAGTGGTGCAGGATTTCGTCCATCCACAGTAGATCGGGACATGTTGAAAAATTGCTCATCCCTTTTTTGCTTCTCTTTGGACACAACGAATCCCTGTCTCGATTAGGTTTCAGACGCCCGAGAATGTTGGTG